AGATTTCGTCAGAGATTTAAATAATTCATGAATGCCAGTTGGACTGCTCAACATGCACCTAAACCAGTTTAAACCGGTTCAGACCAGCAACAGATGGTTCAAAGCGGATCGATGCAAGAATGTCTAATGAAAGGTTAAATTTAATTTTTGTTTTTTGGGAAAAAATCAAATCCATCCATTATTAATGACCTGATTACCTCACTTCATAAACAAAAAGAAGGGAGATACAAATATTTGAGTAGAAATAATGCTGTAATATATTATTAAGTCATTAATCCAGCACAAGTTCGCCTTCGGCAATTGGTTAAAAAACATGTGTGATGATACAATTAAAAAATTATTCATGATTCTAAATTACAGAAAAATAAAGGGTGAAACAAATGGCCCAATGGATTTCTTAATATTTAAAAAAAAGAACAGAGAGTGACCCAAAAAATTTTAAATATATAAAAATATCAGACTTCTTTGGAAACGCTTCTATCTACAATGATGGTTCTCAACTGGCCGAGTACCTCATTACTTATCAATCTTGATCGGTAAGTATGTTGATAGGTATTTGTTTGTTTGTCTGTCAGTCTGTTAGATGCACGCGATATCTCACGAAAGCGAGGTTGAATCTGTTCTTAATTGCATGTGCATTCATCATATCTCAGACCAGAAGCCTATTGATTCTGGATAAATTAAGTCGTATAATTAGCGAGTTATTAATTAATTAGTGATGTGACACACGGTGTCACTATAGAGTCATGAATCGAAGCCGCAGTTTCGATCGATAAGTCTTCGGTCTCCAACCGATATTCTCGTTACTGTTTTATATCCTATTTTATAATGTGGCACGACATTCTTTGTGACCTTACAAGCAAAACTAACAAGAACGATGTCTAAATGAAGGATTGGTAGCGCTATAAATACAGCTCAGCAAATACATGCAGTATAGACGATAAAAAAAAACAGCATATTTTAGCCAACTCAAACGATAATTGTTTTAGTAAATCAGAGCTGCTCATGTAATACTTGAAGAGCTCCTCTGTTGAGAACCACTGATGTATGACAACTGACAATTTTAGAACATTTGGTCTTGCTAATGAAAATAATGACCCACTGGAAAAATTCAGGTCTTTTCAAATATAATATTAGCTCATTACATATTGTTACTTATCGATTTTAATCGGTAAGTATGCTGATAGGTATTTGTCTGTATGTCTGTCTGTTAGATGCATGCGATATCTCATGAAAGCGAGATTGAATCTTGCATGTGCATTCATCATAATTATGTCGTACCACAAGCCTATTGATTTTGGATGAATAGAGTAGTATAATTAGCGAGTTATTAATTAATTAGTGATGGGACACAAGGTGTCACTATGGAGTAAGAGCGCTGTTTTGGGGGGATCCCCTAACTTTCCATCTATAAGTCTTCGGTCTCTGACCGAAATTCTCGTGTTATAAGCATTGTATAAAAAATAAAACCCACCTAAATTTAAATCCTTTCGTTTCGCGATATTTTTTAAAGACATAAATGAAGTAGAAATATCGCTGAATATGGAAGGCAGAGTGATTGAACTTCCTTGTGGAGCCTGATCCTTCTTTTCTTGTCTCTTGAACGATCGAAAACGATGGAACGGTGAGGTTGGCTTGTCTTCTGTAATAAATGAAATACTATATTGCCTTGATTGACATAGGTTGTGATGGAATAGGGCCCGGTGGTTAAGGAATGAACTATTCTGATGTCACGTCCGGTTTTAAGTAAATCATTCAAGAATAGAGTAAAATGGTGTTTGAAAGGGGTATCAATTAATGACCTACTGCAACTGCCGCAAAATTGCATTAAAAAAATGTTGGAAATTGATGGCCATTCCTGATGTGACCTATGGTTTGCTTTGGTTATTGTTCTGGACACTTATTAAATATACGTTTATACTGAGTTAACAGTACAATCCCTCAACCAATAAGCTAGCATTTTACAATTCATTCTTTCAAGGGAAAGAGAGGAACTTGTAGCTAAATTGTTTTTTCAAGTAGCCCGAGTATGGGTTGCATATGATATATCACTATGTAATAACCCATTAAAGATTGAACAAAAACGGAAACAGAGTTTTTATGCATGGTGATGAAACAAAAAAGCTATAAGTGTTCGCTACAGAACTACGGCACATTATTTATAATAACTGTGTATTTGATATGTTTTATCGGAGTAAGAATAAGAAATCAAAACTGGCAAAGGGTGGAATGTAACAATAAAGAATGGAAACCACTGCTCAAGGCCATAATTTGTTGTGATGTACAGCAAGAATCCAATTTGGCTTTCTAGACAAACCTGGTATAGTTTCAGTTGGTTCATTCTCCTTATTCTCATCAGCTTTCTTTTCCTCCTCGTTTTCTTTTGTTTGCTCTTCAACACCATGAATAACTTCAAATGTTTCAGCATCGCCTGCTGTAACAAAAGTTTGATGAAGTACAAAATATCAGATTTGGTAATGGGTTGTATATTGTTCACAAGACTCGTGCCAATCAGCATTTTGAGCGCTATACATCATACTTTTAGAATCAATGTAGATTATGTTTGCCATAATAAGAATTGACAAGAACAATCCCAACTTGGTAAGTAATTGTGAAGTTTTCAAAGAACTTCAGTGGAATTTGACATCTCATAACTGTTTACTGATTGCATTGACATGAACATTTTACAAGCCTTAAGCCAATTAGTATTATGGGCGCGTAACGTAACATCCTGATTTTATTTAATCAGACTTAGTGGTGCCAAAACTTCGCTTGTCTACTTCGACTGTGAGTAATATGCTTGACCTTGCTTTAAGCAAATCTCATTTTGCTTTTCATAGGGAATTGAATTGGCATGGCGGTGTGGCGCATCGTGCCAAGCGATAGGAATGCGTTCACCACCGCGCCTCTTATTTGCACTGCTTGAGTTTATAGGTCCCAATCCAGTTGGGATAATTATGTGCAAGAAGGTCACGTAACCGCTGGTTAATTACGGCTTCCTCCACCATTACCGTAAGTCCATGCATCTGAAACAAATAACTGGCTCACTAATCCAATACCTGACATGTACTGGTAACCGAATTCGCTGTATTTGGTAGTGTTAGGACGATTTGTTTGTATTAAAATAAAACAATGAAAGAAACAAAAACATAAAAAAATTACAAAATTATGTACCTAAGTACTAACCTGCTGGTTGCACTTCTGGTTCATTATGTGTAACATTGACATCTTTAATTGCGTTTGATTCCTCAGGAAAAACTTTATTTTCTTGCCCTAAGATGTAAATATATTTTTAGTCAATCAATATTAGGCAATGACTTTGGATTGCTATAAATATGAGACCAAAGTAACAGATCAATAGAATTGACAGGACTGGATAGAATTAATTTAGTAGGCCTATCAAATTTTTCATAATTATAGCAAAAGTAAATTAACAACTTTGTGGGAACGTTTGCATAATGTCCAAAGCAGTAGTTTTCAACCCTTCATGGAATAAATGCATTCTTTATTTTCATCGATATTTTCAGCGGATGTTTATCTATAAGACCACAGTTGTAATTTCAGCTGGCACAAGTGGGCAAGATCCTGCCCATTGACTATAAATTGACCACCTCTGCCCTAGTATTTACCAATATCTTGCTCATCCTTCTCTGTTTCGTTTTCTTCTCCTACTTTCTCAGTGGCAATTTCATTGGATTCTATGTAAGCCATTGAATCCGGCTGTGAGCTTGAGATTACATTATTTCCTGGTGTAACGATGGTTTCTGACTCAGCAGTAATGTTGTTACTCCCATTCGATGAATCATTATTTTCTGAGGGCACATTTTCAATGATTTCTATATCCTGAAACATAAAAAATGTCAAAATTTACTGTAAATTTTGATCCTCATGAGTTAGAATCATAGCTACTTTTACTTCAAGGTGAGTGTCATTGGAGCAATAAATGGCAGCATAAATGCTTTTGATGCTGGACAGCATTATTCTGTTTGGTCATGCTCAACTGATTTTAATTATAAGCTTGTGTGGCATATCAAAACCAAGTATTAAACAAAAATAGAATCTGAACAAATATTAATTGGACTTGTCACAAAACTAGAGTTCAAATTGCATGCCCACCATCTCATCAAGAGTGTAATAAACTGGTAAAGTAACCAAACAGGATAAAATTCATTCCAAAAATAGTGGCACTCTACATAGAATAGTGGCACTCTACATAGAATAGTGGAACTCTACATAGAATAGTGGCACTCTACATAGAATAGTGGCACTCTACATAGAATAGTGGCACTCTACATAGAATAGTGGCACTCTACATAGGCCTAGCCCAAGGCACCTGATGGCCTGATTTTTTTTAATGCGGTTTTGCAGCATTTGCAGTGAGACGAGATTTTTATGCCGTTTTAACCGCATTTTGCTGTAATCTCAAACGATTTACTGAAAACGGGACGATTCCTGGAATGCTATCAATAATCTTTTCACCGAATGAACAAACCAAGATAAGTGAAACTGCGGAACGACGTTTCCTGGAATGCTATCAATAATCTTTTCTCCAAAGGAACCAACCAAGATGAATAAAAGTGCGCGCTTGTGTAGCGTGAATAACTTCGACAGCGAAGTAGAGAGATTCTTCAAGATATTGTTAGATATTAATGGCTGCTTTTATCTACCCTTGTTTAGAGAAAAAGGCATACCATAAGTTTTTTTTGGGGGGCTGGCTACAATCTTGGCTTCTCACCCATTGGTAACCGTTCATACAAAGCTTAGTTTGGCGTGAGATATATAAATATAAAGTCATATGAGAAGTACCTGTGAAGTATCATCACTGCTTGTTGCATCACTTGCCACTTTTTCAGGTTCATCCAAATCTTTTTTAGCTGCAGATATTTCACTGGACGTTATTTCGATATATTCAGCATCCGCCATGTTTTGTCCATTCAGAACAAAATTTTAGATTCTATATTTGTAACTAATATAACTATTATTATATTACTGAATTATACTGAAACAGGGTAAAAGAAATTTATTTGAATTCTAGTGTATCCATTTCAATGTATTCCACCATGTGCATTCGAGACTCACTTTTAAGATATCAATTGTAACTAACATAAATATTGTACTGTTACTAGAATTAAAAGGCAAGATAAAAAAAATCCAATTAGGATTTCAATGTAGCATCCGCCATGTTTTATCCATAGGAGACGCAATTTCAAGTCATAAATTTGTAATTAATATAACTATTATTGAACACTGAATTTAGAAACAATATTAAAGAAAGCTGATTGCAAAACACGATTTTAATGAGAGCAATGCAGAATATGATGCACCAATAATGGGGATGTGAAATTAAGTTTTTTATTGCACTGCTAAACACAACAACAAATTTGTTCCAACAATGGCAACAATTAAGAAAATATAACCAGTAAGTCCACTTCGTGAAAAAAAACACAAAGCTCAACATAGGATTTAACAAAAAACTATATCACGGACATTGCACTCAATTAATAGAAATGCATAGAATTCAGGATAATGCATTAACATAAGGCAAAACAGGAAATTTTGGCATATACCAAGGTTTGATTGAAATTTATTCTAAATGTTTAAATGCGAGATAGAATTCTTCTAAATCTAGTGAAAATATATGAAGATAATGATATTAATTGTAAAAAGAATAAAAAAATGTCCACAATTACTGGGATTTCAATGCGGGAGCAATAATAACACAAGGATAGGATTTGCATATTAATTAGTTAGCCAGTTATTCATTTTAGAGGCATGGACTTGAAATGAACGAAACTTAAAAGATGTTTTGAGAAAAGTAGGGAAATAAAATTCTTCATTTTCAAACTTCTGTAACATTTTAATGGAGTAATTTGGTAAATATGCCCGTATATCTGTGGGTAATTGCTCTATTAAGAGGACATCAGCCAAATCCAATTGGGAAAGGTGAGTGGTATAAAGCATACATTGTTTCAATATATAAGTTCTTTGAATTTCAATGAGAGAATAACAGGGTATTCAGTATAAATGTTAATAAAGATAGACACTGAATGAGCCCAAATATGAAGAAGTACCGTTTTACGAAAAAAAAAACGCCGCAAGGTAAGAGAAAACGGAAACTCGCTATGCGTATCATGTATGGCCATTAAAAAATTCTGGCAATCTGGGTGCTAAAATGCACATTGCCTATTATGCAAAGAGAAATCTGTTTATCATGAATTAAATATTTCCTTGATCTAAGAATTTACTGTGTTATTGAATCTTGGATGTGAATCAGGGGTGTGCAACCTTTTATACAGAAGGGTCTGATACAAATAGTCTGGTGAAACCATGGGCCGAACCTTTATTTTACATAGGATTTCTGGCAGTGGCAGACACAAAAATTTTGCATTTGGCCTGTGGGTCGCAGGTTGTACAACCCTGATGTGAATAAATACTCAATTTCATTTTATTACCATTACCATCACCACTATGCTAACCACACAACCCAAAAAATAAAATAAACTCAAACTAACACGGAAAACAAATAAGTGTGATATGACAGCCCGGGGTGGCCAAATCGAATAATTTGATCCTTCGAATATGTCTTTGCAATATATAGTGTGTCCAAAAAGTCTGTAAATTTTTTAAAATTGCAAAGGGAATTTACCGATACCCTATATTGTTTTGGCCCTGACAGATGTACCTATTATTACTGATTAAAAACAACAAACCTGGTTAAGATATATTGAGGACTGACTTCATAACAAAACTGAAATTATGAAGAAACTTTATGGACAATCTGTATATGCTGTATTAGGTCAGTTTACTTACAAGAAAATGCTGATTTAATTGATTTTATATTTTTACATTTTCGTCTCAGAAGTTATTTCTTATGAGTCTTATGACAAGTATGATTTGGCATAAATAGAGGAACAAGAAATTTAAAAATGGCAGCGTCGATTATTTGAGATTATTCTTTCAAGTCACATTCCAATAATTCCTTCTAGTGGAAAGTAAAAGAGTCAGAATTGTACTATAGAGTAAACCAAGCCAATAAGTTTTAGAATTATTATTGTATATCAGTTTCATGTTTGCAATTATCCCAAACTAATTTAGCTGCAGCCGCATCCTGTAGTCCAATTCCTAGAGATTTGAAGAAAGTAAATTTCCCTTGTTGAACAGGTTTTTGTTTCAACAAAATTTCCCCAATTTCTGCGTAGACGTCACATTTTGAGAGAATGACGTCTCCAGACTCGTTTTCTGCGGATTCACGGCTGTCAACATACACTGTAGAATTTTGCATACATTCATCGTCGCATTCGCGCCAGGTAGGACGACACGCTCCAACGCAGTTGATATGGCATCCAGGTTTCAACCATTTTTCGAAAAGAACGGGCTCTGTGGCTGAAGTTACTGTTATAACAACGTCACTGTCACAGACGGCCTCCTCAACACTTTTGCAATTCTGCAATGGTAAATCTTTCAATTCTTCGCATAATTTTTGTGCGTTGTCATGGTTACGACTCCAAATCTTCATTTTTTCGAGTTTATATGTTTCGTTGAAGGCAAGAATATGACTCCTAGCTTGCACACCGGATCCAAGAACGGCAATAGTCTTTGGTGTCTCAGATACAATTGCCTGAAACATAAATATACATGCATAATAACAATTTTCTCTAAAAGCCTAATAATGTAATATTCTAAATACATTCTAAAATACATTCTAAAATATATGGTAATTTATAATAATTTATAAAATTTGGTCCCATTTATTTGAGAACACTATAGCACTATAGGTGTGCAACTGTCACATCAGGGAATTCTGCTATGATTGATACAGTGGTTCTCAACCTCTTTTGTATCGTAGCCCACTTTTGTTCAACAAAATTATGTGGCCCATTATCTTGCAAGGGAAAAAAACTACAAGAAAATTATTAAATTATTTCACAAAAAAAAAACCTTCCACTATCATTAAAATGAAAATTACCACTCAGTAGCAAAAACAACATCATTCATAGCTATTACAATTTATCAATAAGCAATTTTAGTAGGTTTGTGGCCTATCTGAAGGTATTTCTGCGGCCCACTACTTGAGAACCGGTGGATCAATACGGGTCTCATGTAGTTTCGTACCTAACATACTTCTAGTGGGCGTAGCATGACAACTTTTCACGTATCAATCCTAATCCCCACCTGACTACACCATCCAAAAATTACGTCATTACGACATCACAGCGACGTAATAGAGCCCTTTAAACTATACGAACTGCAATCCGAGATGCGCAAACGAGCACCCGAAATCGAACAGTTATTTCTCTCGTTTTTTCGTCGCAACGATTCCAATAGGAAAGAGATCGATAACGTGAGTCAGTTCTTTATCGTAGGCGCAAATGCCATTTAGGGCGATCGTACGTATATTTGGCAAGCTCTATGACATAATTGTGATGTCGCAGTGACGTAATTTTTGGATGGCGTAGTCAGATGGGGGTTAGGATTGACATATCAAAAAATTGTTATGCAAAACTACACGAGGCCCGATTAACACTTCGTTTCCACTACCTATAATTTTAACTACAGATTCAAATAAAATGCAGGATTTACCTGAGTAGCTACAACAGAAGCAGCAGCAGTTCGCATTGCAGTTATCAATTCTCCGTCCATCAAACAAGCCAAGGCTCCAGTATCTGGGTCAAACAAAGTGATATAACAGATATGAGTTGGAAGATTTTTCTTAGCGTTATCAGGATACATAGACACCAGTTTTGTTACGAGAGTATCACTAGAGGTGCTGTAGCTCGGCATCGCTAGAAAAGTGCCGTTCGTATCGCCGACTGGTAACGAAACTCGTAACGGTTGACTGGCTCGATTTAATGTATATTCTTCAAGAGCTTGTCGAACAGCTGGTATTAGTTCCGAATATTTCAAATTTTTTCGGACTACGTCCTGACTAATTAATGGTATTGTTTCCATTTTAATAATTGAATATCAGTAGTGTCTGTAAAATGCAAAAATGAAATTTATCAACATATCCGAAAAATGCTGAAATGGCTTGTTTATCAAAACATATCAACCCAAGATCAGAAGACTCTTGCTTCTTGCTGAAAACTGTACGAAACACAAAAGAAAAACAGCATTGAACAGCAAATTTAGAAACACAGTTCAATTATTTCGCACACTCTAACAGTTTTCATTTGTTTTGCACCATCTAGTCTACATATCTCTTTTTTCTCTCAGATCTGCTATGTCTGTAATATGCAGATATGTCAGTATGTCCAGGACCAGATGTCTGTAGTCAGTACCGGTACGGTACCGGTACTGCAGTATGCAGGTATGTTCTAATTTTGGACCTGCAGTGTCCAGTACTCAGAGACCAAAGTTACTCTAGCCCAATGCGGCACTGTCAGACAGTTCTTCTGTTATTACTGTATTAGTCCCATAACTAAATTCGTTACGTATGCCTTTTGTTGCTTTTAAATAAATGCAAATTTGGAACGGAAACAATTCGCAAGCAATTCACGCAATGGCTGCACAACAAAAAACAAGATGGCAGTGCTGTATGGAGTCATAAACATTAGTCCGGTTGAGAGAGACTTCATCGATTGATTTTGTTATTTATCCGAACGCGAATACATACGATGCCGTTGAATAAGGGCAGTAACAACAAGTGAGCAATGTCAGTAATATGCTTAAGTTTGTGGGACACCGCTCCATACGACGAAGGCAATAAAACAATTCCCTCGCACTTATATTTACCCTCCACAGGATTTGATCCTGAATCGGATCGTCCGGTTACAAGTCGGATATGGGATTAGTTAGCCAGTTATTTGTGTTTTGGATAATGGACTTGCAATGGACCTTTCCCCGACCTTTGACCTTTATTGTTTTGATTTTGGTCGCTCAGACAAACATTCAGGCTTGTGTAGGGCGATAGAGTGGTACCGGTACGTTGCTCGCTTTAAAGGCCTTCGAATGGCATTGGCGGTATTTCCGTGCTTCTAAAGTTATAAGATATTGTCAAGTGATCTATTATTAACGTTATTCCGCCTTCACATTGCCGTTACCGTACCTAACTTATTTCCAAAAGCTTCATTAACATACAAAAATGGAATCACTCAGAGATGACTTTTCTATGACTTGGTTCTCCAAGAACTTTTCTTTCCACCAGCTTGGAGACGAATACAAAACTTTTCATTGAAAGGTGATATTTAAACTTATATGGTTGAAGAATGTCTGAGGACTGCGTGACTACCGGTACCGTATCCCATGGTTCATAGACTAATAGATAGCGTCCAAGTTAGGACTAAATTGGTGGGTTTAGTATAGAAATGCAGGGGCAGTTTAAAAAGTCTTTTTTGCACAAACTACAGCAATCTGTAATTATGAACAGATGAATATTTTTTTCAGATACGTTCATGATGGTTCAGTCGTCAATCTTGGTTCAACGCTAGATTTCAAAGCCAAGTGCTATAGATAAGTTCAGGAGGCTCTGCCATCACATCATCTTCAAAAAGGGGTGTCGCTGGATAGTCACCAAGTCTCTGATGCAATTTGCACATGCTAGGCACGGTGAGGGCACTTAAGTTTATGCCGTATCATAGAAACACAGATTTATTAGCTCAGTAAGATGAGTGCAAATTATCGAAAGATAAGATTCAACAGGTTTATTGAGGTATTATGATCCATTACATACCACATAAAATTACAAGACCAATAATGTTATAGTGGTAAACATGGTTTGAAAATTGTTACATATTCATCAGAACTACTGGTGCTTGTTGCCATATCGTTGGACGAACCAAGACTATCCAACAGATGAAATTGAGGGGAATAAAAGATTTTACGCCGAGCCAAGCATGTACAAGGGTTCCCCAGCATTGGTAACAACCTATATGGAGGTAACAAAATAGATCAACAGTTTTGTCGTCTGTAGTTGGTGCTAAGCCCACAAAGTTAGATCGAGCCAGAGTTCCAATCATACCGGTTCAACCAAAAACAGTCGGGTATCTGATAGGTTTCACAATATAGTTCATTCATTCAGTGTAGAAATAGAATATAACAGATTATAAAAAATATATGATGAAGGAACAAGCAAGAAAAAATATCCAAGAAAATTACTACAAATTATACAGTTTTCCAGATATTGTGTTGTATAGGATAAAAATACACACCAGATATATGCTTTTGGGCACAACAAACTGAAACCATGGAAGCAGTGAAATAATAGAATTGAATTCATTTCACAATTCTATTCACAGACATAATGCATCACAAAGATTTTACTGCTGAGTTATTTTATTAAAGCTGCCTGGTTTCATCTACTGATAATATGGGATAATTGCGCTCACTGAGCACTACCTCATTGTTATATAGTCAGCCCATAGTCAGATGGGCAAACACCCACCACTTGGTTCGGTTCTAAAGTTATCAGGTGATTATGAACAAGTTGTAATTTATATGACAGTGATAAATGCAAAACAACCTAACAAAATAAGGATATTTATCACACACCACAGTTACTACCAAGTGCAGGGCCAACTTCTGGTATCAGAAGCAGCTTGGTGTGACTTAGCAGTCCGCATAAAAATGATATTGCAATCTCCAGGCAGGGTCACACCGGACATGGCTTGCATGCGAAGCATCCTCTATAAAGTAACATCATTTTATCACCAATAGATTGTAAAAAATTCTGCATGAAGTCCCAAGTCTTCAATATTAATTTTCCTTCTTTATTCATCATTTTTACAGTTAGCAAATATGACACCAATGCTGGAAGAAGTGTGTTTTCTCATTCTGAATTATGTTAAGTGTTGCCTGATTCTGAATCTTGTTAATTCTTTCGTGCCCTTTTATTATTATTATTTCGTTTTCTTGTAGGTAGCCGCCTACTTTTTGAAATCTATTTTAAGTTATGCTCGACTTCCAATTTTCCCTGCATTTTGTTTGTATGTTGACTTTTTGTGTTGTTTTATGACAGAGAACCAAAATAAAATGATGATGATGCTTGCTTACATTTTTCTGCTGTCTGACAAAGCACTGTCATTTTCATTAGCGGCACTTGAGGTAGTTTCAACTAAAGAGTCTGGGGGCAGATCTGGTTGGATCCCTGACAATCCTTTCTCACTTTCGTCAGATTCGCATGTCTCTGTATCAAATGAAGTATCTGGTGACAGATCCTGTTAAATTATGATCCAAAGTTAAATTATGGTATAAGTAATCCTTAGCTCACTATTTGATGGTGCTTTGGGCGACAAGAATCTGATATAGGGTCAGGGTATTCATCAGTTGGTCCATCGCCTCCATGAAAATGCATGATGGAACGCATTGCTTGTATTAAAATTTATTTCATATAAAAATTAACATATTGAATATGTCATAGGTATTGAAAACTATTTATGTTGGCCTACCTTGGTACACACGTACCGGTAGGTATTTCTGGTGATTTTTCCTAGGTTGAATCGACTGTGAGGCCTGTTGCATTCCTTTATCCACCTCATTGCTTTAGGTGGTCAATATGTGGCTTCGGAAAAGGCACAAATCTTACTCCATTTGAACGGCAGGGGTACCGTACAGGTTGTCAGACCGACAAATACCATATGCGGACCGTTTAAACATAGTTAGGCAAGTCTACGAAAATAATTCACTAATAGATTCTGTTTAATAAAAATGCAACATTGTATCGAAGGCGAATTCTTCCGTACTGACATACGGTAGGCTACCGGTACCCTTGATTGCATCAGTACCGGTATGACTGTCTACTATTTTTTGGTTCGAAATAGCAGTTGGTTAACCTGTACGGTACCTTAACTGTAAGGTGCCTGCAACGGGTACATCCTTTTAGTATAGATTGCGTGAACGTGATTTGCAACAAGTAACATACAGTATTACCGCTTTCTGATTCTCGCAGCCCTGTGAAGAAAACAAAGGGCGAAAAAGAGGGACAAAGATCTGCCTAAATCGCCAGCAACCTGCGCGGAACGCGTCCAAAGTTGTCTGAGCGACTTTTCAGCGGAGAATGTCTGTTTACATCTGCTCGCCTGTGATTGGTTGAGAATACGGATGTTTTGATGTCGGGGAAAGGTCCATGACTTTGCATGGATCTGCAAACCCGCAGGTTAATCAGAGATGCAATGTTGCAATTCCGTGGGTCTCACTTGGAATACAAAGGCTATCGGTAAGTTTTATAACAGTGGATTCCAAACTTTATGATATATTCCTTCTTATTGAACTCTTCCATTTCTCCCTCCTCAATCGTTTATGTATCATTAGCTAGTGACACGCGCAACATGCACTGTGATTTTTGGCCGAACATGTGATTTTTGCACCGAGATGCCGAACATGTGATGGCAATGCTTTGACCCAGGGTCGGCCAACCTTTCTGGACGACGGGCCACATTTTGTTCACTAATAATTGCGCTGGCCACTTAACATAGTAATTATGTTCTAGTTTTGCTACACTGACTAAAAGTTAACAAAAAAAAAACTCGCACCAAACTTTCTCAATAATAAGAACAATAAAAAACGAAGATACAGTGAAGTCAACAAAGCTTTTCTACACGTAGCTATTTTAGTGTGAAGTTTGGCACTGTTTTTCACTAACAAGTTTGTCAATATTTGCTGAAATGGACGATGTAGCAATGCGAAGCAAATTTTCCATATGACTGTCAGAAATTAGTGATCTCACAGGGGATTTGACATGGTTTATCTGTGAAAAAACTTGCTTGTACAAGTAAGTGCTGCCAAATATTGAAGTCATTAAAACTGCCATTCTGACCAAGTGTATAAGCGACTATTTATGTATCGATATCTTCCAGTTGGTTTCGAATCCAAATGGCACTCATGGCTCGTTTGAAAGGGCTAGCAGAGCGAATTTCAGAAAAATGAACAAATTGTTTGTATCAAAACCCTATATTAACTACATCACTCGAAAAATAGAAGTTTTTCTCAATTTTTTTTCATTTAATTCCGAAAATACAGCGCGGGCCACTCAAAACTCCTCGGCGGGCCACATGTGGCCCGCGGGCCACGGGTTGGACGACCCTGCTTTAACCCATGGGTGTAAAACCTGCAGCCCTCAGGAAAAACTTGTGTGGCCCGCGGAGAAGTGCCAATTTTGAATGATGTGCGGCCCGTTAAACGAGTTTTATACTGTATTCAGTAATTCCAATCCTTTTGCCTTGCAAAGCCCATACCTGATTCCAATTTATCATCTACGCATATGACGTTACAATGCCCTAAAAGATAGCGTGTGCGAACAGAACAGCGCATGCTTTAAGATCAATAACCAAAATTTTGTGCCGCAATCATTAACTAACTAGGATAGGATAGGATTTACATATTTATCCCGGCCATATAACTAAAAACGCCATATAAATAAACGCCATATACACCAGAATCCTGGCTCTTTCATATTTTTGGTGAAGATTTTTGTTTCTGTTTATTTCCTATTAATATTTTCTTACTATAACTTCCTTCTCTCTCTCATCTTTTTTCTACTATTCTCTCCTATATTTCTTACTATATTATTTTTTTTCCTGGAGGAGACGGACATCACGTGGCAGAGAGAGACATGAGTGTGCATCAAGGTGCATTTCTCCAAACTCTCTTCTGTCACGGAAATTTGCGTCGAATCTGAACATCTGTTTTCTATTGGTGCATTTTATTTTACCTCCCTTATAGGAAAGACCATCTTAGAGGAAAAAGACGCAAGTATAAAAAAAAACAAGGTAAGAATCAGTGGGTCGAGGCTTACTTAAAAAAATATATATATAAAGGTTGCACAACCTTGATTTAACCGTTAGGCAATCGCTTCCTGCCACGCCAAACCAGAACTAGGGACATGGTGTTTGCCAAATAGTTGGTCTGTAATACGTGTCTTTTCATCTTATCCTGTTATTATACCACATGCGATTCCACCCGGAGAACCCACGCAGATAAAAAGAGAGCAATGTCAAACATTTAGCATGTGTGACTAAAGGCTAAACCAGACGAGGGGCCGTGGTTCGCCATATGATTAAGCCGTCTTATCGGCTTTCCTCTCCCCTGGGATAAATATGTAAATCCTATCTAAAGACAGAAAAATTGGTAATTCTGAAAAGTAACATCCCTATTGAAGTTTTAATCGCCACAAATGTCGGTTCGCTCAATCTAACATTGAAAACAAAAGAGGTTCCGAAAGTTCAAAGTCAAATTAGAGAGTATGTATATATTATTATATGTATATTGTTCAAATATAATCAAACACCAATCATTGTAAATTATTGCAGTAACCGTATAAGAAATACAAATAAAACCGTTTTAATGCACTGATTGTATTCACAACAAGATTGAAAAATGGCATAGTACAGAGGCTTACGGCAAGAATGGCGATAATGTACCACGTAATTGCAACAAAAAGTATAGTGGAATATATGAAGATAATACTGCATACAACTATACCAATATATGGCCATTGCTGGCTGTTGCACCACCTGTCCAGTCTAAAGATTTGTGATAACTAAAAAAATCTATAAACTGTAACATGGAAAAAAACAAGGATGCTGAAATGGGAAACATGCAAAAAAAGAATTTAACACCATCTTTGTAAATAACTGTAATAAACAAGGATGCTGAAATGGGAAACATGCAAAAAAAGAATTTAACACCATCTTTGTAAATAACTGTAATAAACAAGGATGCTGAAATGGGAAACATGCAAAAAAAAATTCAACACCATCTTTGTAAATAACTGTAATACCTGTATAAGAAGTAAAAATAAAACTGTTTGGCGCTATGTACCATTCGCGATATAAGTAGGCTATATAAAGATAATAAATACTGTGTATACCGATATATGACCCTTTCTGATTGATATTTTAATAAAGGAAAAAAAATCTCATGGCAAGTATGGGGATAATGAGACCTCCCGAAGTATGTGCATCAAGATGGCGCACAACCTGAACATAGTATGTGTACCAGGTTGCGGTTCAGGTTGTGCACCATCTTTGTGCACATACTTTGGGAGCGCCGGATCATGTACTATTTGCATCAGAAGGTAAGATTTATATAAAAAAAATTAAAAACAATGCAAAAGTATGAAAAAAGGCTGATATATTATTATACTATTATTGATATTACGGTAATTATACTATTATTCCAACATAAGAAACAATAACATATGATAGGTACGGCGATAATAATTGATTGAAATCGGAATGAATCGCCAGCAAAATTTTAAGACATCATATAACCTATATATATATATATACCGTATTTGCTCGTTTTGTAGCCCGGGCCCATATTTTTTTCAACCAACTCACTAACCGGGCCCTTATTCAAACCGGCCCTTATTCCAGCACGGGCGCTTGTTATTTTCGATCAATAATTAATATATTGTTATTTCCAGTTCTCAAGTATGATTTAAACGAGAATAACGAACATTTTGACTTTTTCCACGCACCGCAGGTACAAATCTGCAAAAAAGAAAAGTTTTGCGACGCCTAGTTTGAGAACCATGGTGTTACGTAATCAGGCGCGCAGCCAGGACTTTCAAAAGGGAGGGGTTTCAAAATTGGAAATTCCAATTACCGTGTGTAACAGTCACTGCGATTACGTGCTCGTTAAAAGAGCCGCCTTTTCAGCGTATAATGATTTTTCTGTTGTTCAAATTATTCAATCCATGACAACTACGAAATTCTAAAATGTCCTTATATATTAATTTAATTGTGTCCAACGTAACTAGCGGTTGCGACTTCTTAAGTCAAAATAAAAACATTATTTCTCTAAAATACCACGGCGATCTGTGGACATAAAAATATGAGATAAGCTGCCTGATGTATTTAATTTTGATATGTATTTTTTTAGCAAAAGGCAATCGTACGCGTTATCGGCGACTTTTTCAAAAAAATTTAAAAATTCAACAGCATGATGACAAAAGCGCTTCTTATTTCCTATTGTTCTCTACCAGCACTGAAAAATCAGCTTTTACATCGGGCGGGTATTCAAGCACCGGCCCCTATTTATTTTTATGTTCCGATCACACAGGCGGCTATTCAAACGGGCTCTTAATCAAGATCGGGCGATAAAACGAGCATTTACGGTTTGCAATAGGTCTACAATTTCAAAATTACTATATGATATAGCGATGTGCTAATAAGATATGGATAAGGAGAAGCATAGCATTGTGTACGAAAATTAAAATTATGAAATATTTTTGACCATCAACTGTGCCAACAATGTACATTTAGCGCTCCAGAAGTATGTGTACTAATATGGAGGAAACTAATTTTGTTCGCCTACTTTACATCAAGTTGTATAACGGGACTGAAACCTATGGACAGGGGTATATTCACTTAGTTAACACAAACAGTCCCAGAGTAAAATGGTACACATACTACGGCAGTACGGTACAGTCATACATTAATCTAATAAAGATTCATTCGTGAATTCTTATGGCCCAACATAAAACCATTTTTAACTCTCTATTCCAACTCGAAATTGCTACAAAAATTACTCTAAATTGAAATCAAAATTCTTTGGTAGAAAAAATCTAAGATATATTGCGAATAGTAAGAAATACATGGCAAGTATGGTAAATATTGAGGTACTATCTGGAACAAACATATGATTTATAAAACAATATAATGCAATATGATTAAAAATAAGAAAAAAGAGAATGGAGAAAGTAATTATATCAATATCTATGTTTTTAGGAGCGAGAGGATTGCTGGACTCCTCGCCGTCGTAGGTAATTCACATAACCGCTGGTCGGTTACGGATTCCTCCACCATCAAGTCCATGCTTCCGAAATAAATAACTGGCCAACTAATCCCATACCTGACATGGAATGGTAACCGGATGAGAGGCCGTGGTTCGCCATATGATTAGGCCGTCTTATCGGTTTTCCTCTCCCCTGGGATAAATATGTAAATCATATTTTATCATCACATTAGGTAGACTATATCGTTTGCTTCTTACAGTTATGCATGCATTACTGCATATATCTCCCCAGTTCAGAATATTTTTTGACAAAACTTTGAATGTTCTGAATTATTTCTTATTATATTCTGGAGGATTTGCGCTAATCTGGTCTTCTCGATCTTCGGTTATTAAGGGTTGCGTGGGCATTGTGGAATAAGGAGCTACAGCTTGCTGAGATGATTGTCCTGTGGGAAATACTACAGAGCTTTGGGAAGACATGGGGGCTGGTACGGGGGTTATTCCAGTTTGAGCTGGCATGTTTGCATACTGCCCTTGCGGAAGAGCTCTAGCCTGGTTGGGCACAGGGGGTGGCTGCATTGTTGGGGCTCCACCCACTTGGATGGGAATGGCGGTCGACGCATACTGCATTGAGGAGGCTCCTCCAGCCTGGACAGGCACAGTTGTGGGTGCATAACACATAGCTCCTGATGTTTGGCAACCTTGTGGCATCATTACATACTGACCATTTGCAAGTTGCACCGTTTGACCTTGTCGTGCTGTGTAAGTTACATTAATTTGCTGGAACCTATTTCGACAACAAATTCCAGCACAGCAAAACGCTGCATGGATAATACAGATTATCATGCCTATAAATCCAAGGATGGCAAGGATAACATGGAAAGGCATAACTATGTATCTATATGAACGTGGGTAAATCGTCAAAATACTCATGACAGACAAACAGAGTAGAATCACCATAAAAATTGCTGCCAAAATACTGAAAGTCATGTTAGCCCGGTACATGCACGGTGATGTATGGTGCTTAGTTTTCAATCCCAGGATGCCAGATACTAGAAGGACAGCGCCGCACCATATTCCGTGTGCCACCGTATTGGTGCCATATGTGACTCTATATTCATGATGTTGATCATTCCAACGGTCATGGACAATATAAGAGGGAGAATTTATTGCTCCCAGGATAAGGGTCACAACACAAAAAATGCCGCAGAGTACCGCTAAAATGATCTCCACTGTTCCAAGATAAAACAGAACATTTTTGTATTTTTTCCGTGGTTTGAGTTGACTCATTGCTGCCCTTTGTGGTTGAGTTTGTGCCATTATAACTTGTCCGACTGGAGCTTGTTGTTGTAGTTGAACATTTGCAGTTGGCATTACAGTATTCTGTGCTGGAGTTTCAAATTGTTTAGAGTAACTGGTATCTGGATTCGCAGCCATCATATCGTATCTTTTTAATATGTTTAGAGTAAGGTCTAAACTCCAAGCTGAATTATTCAATTAGTTCATGGCTTAATATGCTGATTATAGAGTCAAAATAAACTTATGCTTATTAGTCCAGCTCTTAACTGAAGTTGGGCGTACTGATAGAGTTTTGGGAACCACTGGAATACAAATGTTTCATTTTTTTTCTCAAATCCAAATGTTCAATCGTTTTTAGGACCCAAGCCGTTGACTGAAATTCTAAGATGAAGTTGTAAAAATTTCTTTCGACAAAGAAGTCTGTAGATAGTAGTTGATACGTGACTCGAAACAACTGGAGTATTGATAGCCAGGCTGTAAGCAACTACTGACCCACTACAAGCAATCACTGATTTTTTAAAGAGCTACTCACAGACGCAGTTGACAGGGAATCTACATTTATTCTTCTATATTACCTCCTTGAAATTTCTGGTTTGATAGTTGCCAGTTTCTTGCAGCTGTTATTAATTATATCAGTGCTATTTTAGGCAGGTAATTTATTATAATTACCTATATTGAATCTGGCAACAATCAATGAATGAAAAATGAAATTATTGCAACTCCTGAATGAACTTAACAAAGAGAGATTGAAAATGAAATGCAATTAATAAGCTAAACATATATTGGATGTTTCAAATATACACAAAAGATTAAAATACAAAAAGTCATAAAAAAGCAAGAAATACAAAAAAAATGACTGGTGGGCCTATGGAATTCAAACTTCAATACCAGTTGAAACAGGTATACATGGTGTGAAATTTCGCCCTATTTTATAGTAATAACAATTGCAAAATATCATTGTATGATAACTGATGACTACAAAAAGAACTATTAATAAACTAAGACAAACCAATTTTTAATTGTTATTACTATTAAATCAAGTGAACTTTTTCGAATACCCTGTATATATCTCGATTTTTTTAGACATGTCTAGAAGGATATGATTATCATATTTATCACAGGGAAACGAAAAAATTGATAGGACCGCTCGATTAAAGGCCAATCATGATATATATGAAACAGTTATTTTTTTAATTCAAATATATATTTTTTCTAAACTTCAGCGAGTCCAAACTGGGGGCCAGCTGCGGTGGAGGGGGGACACGACACAATGCTAGCCACTAAACTGGTTTTACTTTTCACTTCACAAAAATAGTTGCCGTTCTTCCTAGTTTTATTGCTTGATTTGGGTATTTCCCAGGATTTTTTACTTTTTTGTGCATAAATTGTTTGAACATAATGGGATTTGGAATCTACCAATCACAATAACACTGCAGACGTCGGCAACCTACGGCCCACGAGCCGGATACGGCCTGCGACGCTTTACTGAAGTATAGTAACAAAACAGCTGTTTTGACGATTATACTATTTACGTAACAGAATTTATTGTGAAACACTGGTAGACTACTTTATATTATAAGTATAAAATTCACAATTACTAGTTTATAATGAGCCTATAATTTATTTATAATTAGATAAATGGGAACAAAAACATGGAAAAGTTGTTGGTAAGTGCAAAGGGTTCAATGGCGCCGAAAATACTCAAATGGCATTTTTTGCAATGCAATGAGGAAATAAATCTATATTCTATTCGAGAGATGTATCACTCCTTGATTTTTATTATGAAAAGTATAATCTGTTCAGTTTTCAAATTTCTAAATATATGTGCAGCCCGCCAATGACTTGCAACCCTTAATTTTGGCCAACAAGCGACAAAAGCTTGCCGACCCCTGTACTGCTGAAATGATAAACAGGGGGGGGGCATAAGAGCTAAAAGTTCCCTGAGCACAATGCTAGCCCAAGACTGATTTTATTTTCCACTTCACAAGAAAACTAGTTTTATCGCTTGATAAGGTTATTTTACATAGTGTTTTCACTTTTTTTGTGCATAAATTGTTTGAACATAATGGGATTCGAATCTACTAATCACAATAACACTATAAATACTACTGCTGAGGTCGGCAACCTATGACCCACGAGCCGGATTCGTCCGCAACGCTTCACTGAATTATACTCAAAAAAAAAATGCCGAAAATACTCAAATGGCATTATTTGAGATGCAATGCAATGAGGAAATAAATCTATATTCTATTCGAGAGATGTATCACTCCTTGATTTTTATTATGAAAAGTATCATCTGTTCAGTTTTCAAATTTCCAAAAATATGTGTAGCCTGCCAATGACTTGCAACCCTTAATTTTGGCCAACAAGCGACAAAAGTTTGCCGACCCCTGTACTGCTGAAATGATAAACAGGGGGGCCATGAGTGCTAAAAGTTCCCTGGAGGGAAGCACAATGCTAGCCACTAAACTGATTTTACTTTTCACTTCACAAGAAAACTCCCTGTTCTTCCTAGTTTTATTGATTGATAAGGTTATTTCACAAGGTGTTTTCACTTTTTTGTGCATAAATTGTTTGAACATAATGGGATTCGAATTTACCGATCGAAATAACACTATAAATACTACTGTAATGATAAACAGGGGGAACGTGAGAGCTAAAACCCTGCTGAAGGTTGGCAACCACTGCTTTAGAAATTTCTAATAGGATACGATATTTACCCCGTGGCTCACTCAAATACCAAACTACGCCTTCTTATCCAGTTTATAGACCATGTCAGCCAGTAGTGTGCAGTTACTTTTAAAGCGACATGAACATACCGTAATTTTTGACATGCCCTGAGGCGAGCATGATAAATGAAACAAATCGAAAACTCGTGATTCTAATGCAAGTCACAAGACTTAAGACTATTAACACGAGACTGGACAATTTCTATGAAATAATATTACCAAAATTACGCTTTATGTTTTTGAAAAAAATACCATGTGATAGAACCACAATTAATTGATAAGGCATTACAGATCAAGTATTTTTGCAATACTGAATTATATTTCTATCATTTACAAAATTACTTTTTTGAACACAAACAATTTTACAATATTTTTGATAATATATCATGTGTGAAATGAAAATATCATATCAGAATGTATTTGGAATAGTAAATTATTTTATTTCATTCTCAATGAATAACGAATGATTTGTACATAATTTCTTTGTTGAAAAACATGACCTGATACTGACATGACTTGCAATGAATGTATTCGGAATAACAGAAAACCTGGCCATAAAATATACCCTCACTCTGGCATAAAATATAGGAAAGCAAATGCATTTTTATGGATTTCCATTACCACAGTATTGGTTGCAAAGCTTCATTCCCGTCTTGTGATAAAAGTAGGCACGAGTTTTAATTACTGAAGAATTGGTTGCAAAGAGTTATACTCATGTGATAAAATTACTGGTTAGATATTCCCAAATAACAAGATACATTACATATGCATGGGACAAGCATGAAATATGTATAACAAACATAATTTAACATTCACCCTAACATGGTAAAAGATTTTTTAATTTGCCATAATTTTTTGTTCTTGGAATTGAACATCATATGACTGTTGATGTCATTGCCACCGACTGTCACCGATAGCCCTGTCACATAAGTAGAAAGAGAAAAGAATGCCAATGTTGCAAATTATTATCATGCCGATATCAGAGTCATCAACAATCCCATGATTGGCAAATTATTTGTTTAAAAATCTTCGAACAGAGGATATCCATCCCGATCCAAATAAATTTGAAATTTGTTATTTTTAATATATAGGGTGTCCATGAAGTCTTGAAATTTTCAAGAATTCCATAGAGAATTTATCGATACCATATATTGTTTTGGCACTCACACATGTATTAAATGAAGTAAAAATACTTAAACAATTACTGATTGAAAAACAACAAGATATATTACGTTACGTTAAGATATATTGAGAACTGACATCATAACAAAATTGAAATTGTGGAGGAACTTTATGGACCCCCTGAAGTAAAGTCTCGGTTTACGAATAAGTACGCTAAAGTCAAAGGTTTTTTGTTCAGTCACACAACACAACAAGAAACATGTTTCATCAATATCTCACAACAAAGAAAAAAGTCATATGTCAAAAAACAATATGACGGCAATTCCAAATTTTTATCTGAACCCATTCGAATAATAAACTATTCGAAATATCCAGCCCTAATTGTTGTATAGACTTTATAAGTCAAAAAGATAATCCAAGTGTTGAAACCTGAGAATATATAAAGAAAGCTATGGTGACGAATCAAAGGCAAACTTAGAAAAAGTATATTCAGATGTACACCACAATAAAAAGTATTCCTAACACTTAGCCCGTTGAGCCACACCGCCGCGCCAACATATTCAAACAGAAATAATTTGGCATTGTTCAGACATCAGTTCTCAAACTTTTTAAGCAACGCCCCTTTTTAGAATTTACCAATCCTTGGACCCGCCTGAAAAATAACTACAGATAAAACTACAAACAGATAGTAAGGCGAAAGTAATCGTGGATAGAACGTAGTAAATATCCAAAATAAAAAAATGTGAATTCTCAAAAAAAAAGGGGGCAAGATCAATTCTGATAATGATTCTTTATTACAGGAGTTCCCAAACCTGGGGTCTGGGGTGATAAGTAGGTGGGGTCGCTGAGGTATGGTAGAGGATAGATGTACAAAACATCTCAGATTTAACAAACCATGTTTTATTCAGCAATTTGTACCATGGCTTATTGTGAAACAGGCCGATAGACATTGCTCTTGCTTATGCTATAGCAAATGTAGGTGCTTATTATGACATCACTGTTTGGTTTTAGCTTATTTTACCTAACGCCACCACATGACCAAACTCAAAAGTCCAGTGGAAGAAGCTCTAAAGTTTCATGGAATATATATACATTGACCTGGGGTCGCACTGGACACTTGAAAGTTGTTCTTGGAGTCGTCCCGAAAAAAGCTTGGGAACACCTGCTTCATTAGATAATCCTCCTTGTTTCTCACTTTCCCTCCACCAGTTTTCACCAAGACCCAGATTACAGCTAAAATAAATTTAAATACTTTGTATTTACTATTGCACTAAAAAATAAAATTTATGTATTCAAGTGGAACAGAGACAGCAATATAAATTTAGGCAGTATAACTGTGGTGATGTCATGAAATTGTGTTTAACGCAATATGTGTTTTTACAAAAAACAAATAAATGAATGTTTAGTAAAATAGCACGCGATGATTTTTAAAACGTAACATAATCTGAAATAACTTCAGCTTTACGGCTTTGAGATAAAATGTTGAAAAATTTTCGAATCTCTTATGCATGCAAGAGTGGGTTCTGGTTTGCTTGAGCTTCTTGTTCTTTTGTCATTTGAGAGTTTGGTGTCTGTGGGTAGGGAGGAACGGCCACTCCTGGTTGAGGAGGCATTTGTGCACCGGGGTAATATGAAGTTCCCGGTGCATATCCTTGAGCAGGTATCATAATGAATTGGCCGTTTGCAAGCTGAACCATTCGTTGTTGCGAATAAGCAGGGTGAGCTGCGTATACAACCACGCCTTGTGGTTTTTTGCGGCAACAGACACCAGTGCAACAATATGCAGAATGAATAATACAAATAATCATTCCGGCAAATCCAATGACAGCCATAATAGAATGAACGGCAATGATTCCTCCATTTCCTTCACGTGGGTAAGTGTCTCCAGCACATATCGCAGACATTATACACAACGTAGCCATGAAGCAAGAAGTTACAATACTGACTGCCATATTCGCATTATATAAACAGATTGAAGGTTTTCTTCTAACTTTGAATCCAAGAATTCCAGATGCAATTACGATAGCACCGCACCATATTCCGTGAGACGCATACGCCATGCTGTAGTTGATAGTATACCAGTAATAATATGTTATGTTATTCCTAGAGCTATGATAGGCGAAAGTCTTCTTTGTGCTTGCAATGAGCAATGTAACGATGCACAAAACTACAGATAAAAGGCCAAGAACAATTTCAGTAACTCCAAGTCGATACAAAACAAGTTTGTATTTTTCTCTCGGCTTCGTCTGAGGGGTTGATGTAGTCGTTGCCTGCTGGGGTGGCAAAGTAACCTGACCCTGTTGGGGGCTTGCTGTCCCACCCTCTGGTTCAACAGCTTGATCAAGCATTGAATATAAGCCAGCTGGAGATTGAGCCATAATGCAACAAAATAAAGCAGTATCTCTTGTAATTATTTTACTATGAGCTTTGAACACAAAGAAATGAAAGTTGGTTTGTTAGTCCAAAGCAATCCAAATATTAAAATAATTTGAAACTGGGTATTTTGGTATATAGGGTTAGTCTTGAAATTCATTAAATATACAAAGAAGATTTGATGATACCACATAGTGTTTTGGCCCTCACAGACGTATCAAATGAAGTGAAAATACTGATTAAAAAAACAAATCTGGTTAAGATATATTGAGAACTGACCTAATAAACTTAAAATTGTAAACTTTATGGACACCCTGTACTGAAGCACTCCAAAGTCGTTTTTTATAGCTCAGTAAAAAATTTTTTGTTTTGAGTCTAATGCCAGTAATCAATTTACTTGAACTCTTTTTGATATGGTTGCAAGCAGGGATGGCCAATTCGAATAAAGTATTCGAATGTATTCGAATATCTCGTCATTCGAATATCGGAATTCACGTTCATAAGAATATCGGATATTTGTGTGACGTCACACATTTTCGACGCCGCTTTCAAGACGTTTCCGTTGAATGAAAACATTCTCGATAGAAACTTGTGATTGTTTTCATCACTCATCAGCGTAACGTGTTATTTAGGCCCGCAAACGCCTTTACGATTGTGTTATTTTCTCTAAAACGAAAATTTTCCACAAATTTGTTCCACGATAACCATAACATTTATTACATTTTTGTACGCGCACGGAATTGTGAATCTGGTAAATACGTTCATCGGCGGCGAGTTTCTAAAGACAACGCAACTTTTTGATTGAAGAGCGGCAATTTAAAATACTGAAAATAAAACCGTAAGCAACATAAGTTTTATTGAGGCCCGCGAAAATTTAAAAAACGCTTTTCCAGGCAGTGAAAATCGCAAAATTTCGTGTGCACACATTATGTTTGGTCGGCGTTTAGAAACATATCGTCACTAATTGAGGGCGGGATTTGCCTGATTATCCATTACTTTAATATGCCGTCAAATATTTTCGGGTTAACACGATACAAGGTTTGAAACGCGACTTTTTCCCTGGTTGTGCGGATGTATATAATATAATTAATCTAAAGCATATTCAATCAATTTATTGTGATGAAATAAATTTTACTCTTAGCATTTCGATCGAGCGGAGTCACTGTTAACAAGTACATCTAAATATTTGCCGAATTCGCAAAATTCGGATAAAAACAATATTTAATCGGACAGTTTACCTCACGTTTTTATTTTTATGGCCGCGGATTGCAATGGTATATAAGAGTGGTGAGGATTTTATTTTGTCGACGCAACCGCAGGTTAAATTGAAGACAATTAAATTAACAAGAGAAAGATATTTTAAATATGCCCGTGTCGGTCACGAATTCATCACTTTGCACAACAGAAAAATATATATTCGTTGTTATATTATTTGTTGTAAAAGTCGACTCTTTTAACAGGTGGCATAATCGCGGCGATGAATATGTTCTTTTAATTTACTGCTAAACTTTATATGTATATTCTTTGTATGAAATTAATTATTCTCTACACTTAACAGGATTTTATATAATTATTTGAGATTTTTCTAACGGCGATAACGAGTTGGCAAGATTGCAAAAATACATTTTAAAATTAAATACATCAAGCAGTTTTCTTGTAATTTTAGCTCACAGATTGCCGTGGACCGAATAGAAATGTTTTTTTTTGATTAAGAAGAAGCAACCGCGAAAGATATTTTAGAATCTTGTATTTGTCATGGATTGAATATTTTACGTAACAGAATGATAAGACGGCCCTTTCAACGAGCGCGGAATCGCGGTGGGTGTTACAGGCGGCAATGAGAATTTCCGATTTCGAAAATCCTGGCTGCGCGCTGGCAGTGGTGGTCATCTATTCTCTACTAATTTATTTCTAACTCCAAACACAACAATATGTTACACATAATAACAATATGGTTCACATAAATTTATATACAAATATACTGGTAGGTAGTAGAATACTCTAGGCTTAAATATTAGAATTTTTAAAGGCAATTATCTGAATACAAGTAGTATTTTTGTCAAGAGACTCGACTATTATCGTAATATCATGGTACCGGTACCAATGATAGAAAGCGTCAGACAACTCCTTGGCTATCTTTTCGTATGGTCATTTGTACAAAGTGAATAAATTTAATAAACCGACTGTGTCACAAGTTGCTATTATTTTTTATTAATAGCTATAAACTATCAATAACTTTGTGTACATATACTGTTGGTCTGTGGCTTCATTCTGATATTTCTATTGAAGCCTAATTGATTTCCTAATTTACTGGGTTTTAATCAACTAAAACAAAAATGTGTTATTTTTGATTTTAGAATGTATTCGGAATTCCAGATTCGAAAACATTATTTTAGAATGTATTCGGAATAGTTTAGTATTCGGAAATGGCCATCCCTGGTTGCAAGTCAAAAACATAATCTAGAGTTTTGATTGAAACCTAAAAATATATAAAGAAAGCTATGGTGATGAATCAAAGGCAAATTTAGCAAAGGCTGGATGTAAACCACAATATGATGATACAAGTTAAAGTCATAAAATCTCTAAATATTTTTCATAAAATTTACAAAAAGTGCAATTTTAGTGCAACAGAGGTAAATCAATATATGATTTAATAAAAACATATTCACACAGAAATAATTTGGCACTTTTGGAAATGAAATAATACTTGAAAAACAAAAATCCCATACTTTCTATAATCCCTGAAAAAGAGGGTCATGGTAATCACTGATAGAGGCAACAAGGCAGATTTTTTAAACAAATCTACTTATGGCACGATCATTTCATCAGCACGGTAATTTCTAGTAATAATATATAACATTTTGCAATTAGTTAGCTAATAAGTAAAATTTATATGGTATCTATACAACATTTCGCTACAGCTACGTCTATGCAAACGGGAAATCCCCCGTTATTCGCTGCTATTATGGCACATTTAATGCACGGCAATTTCTAGTAATAATATATAACAATTGCAATTAGTTAGTTATTTAGTAAAATTTATATGGTATCTATTCGTTGAAACTCTTCTCTCCGATCTGTTAAACTAGGTACCTTGGGTGTCGCAGCTCGATAACCAGTTTTGGTTCCCCGCGGCTTCCCTTCCCCAGTAATTTAAATATCATTTTTTCTATATATTTTTGCATGTGTTTTTTGTTTTGTTTTTGTTTTTTACTGGTTGGAAAAAATAAACTTGACTTGACTTGACATGTTTTATCATTATCTCACAACAAAGAAAAAAGTCATATGTCAAAAAACAATATGACGGCAATTCCAAAATTTTATCTGAACCCATTCGAATAATATACTATTCGAAATATCCAGCCCTAATTGTTGTATAGACTTTATAAGTCAAAAAGATAATCCAAGTGTTGAAACCTGAGAATATATAAAAAAAACTATGGTGACGAATCAAAGGCAAACTTAGAAAAAGTATATTCAGATGTACACCACAATAAAAAGCAAGTTAAAAATCATAAAATAACAAAACACATAGGTTTACAAAAATTGCAATTTCAATGCAATAAAGATAAATCTATTAAAATCAGTAAATTTCAAATATATAATTTTGAAAAAACAACATATAGGATAGGATTTACATATTTATCCCGGGGAAAGGAAAGCCGATAAGACGGCTTATCCATATGGCGAACCACGGCCTCTCGTCCGGTTACCATTCCAAGTCGGGTATGGGATTAGTTTTTACTGTATTGTTTGTTTTCGGAAGCATGGACTTGGTGGTGGAGAAAGCCGTAACCGACCACACCACCCAACGACGGCGAGGAGTCCAGCAATCCTCTCGCACATAACCATCCCTGCATGAGATTCGAACCTGCAAACCCACGCAGAGTAATTAGAGGTGCGGTGGCGAGCGTATTCCTAACACCTAGCCCATTGAGCCACACCGCCGCTCCAACATATTCAAACAGAAATAATTTGGCATTGTTCAGACATCGGTTCTCAAACTTTTTAAGCAACGCCCCTTTTTAGAATTTACCAATCCTTGGACCCGTCTGAAAAATAACTACAAATAAAACTACAAACAGATAGTAAGGCGAAAGTAATCGTGGATAGAACGTAGTAAATATCCAAAATAAAAAAATGTGAATATCCAAAAAAAAAGGGGGCAAGATCAATTCTGATAATGATTCTTTATTACAGGAGTTCCCAAACCTGGGGTCTGGGGTGATAAGTAGGTGGGGTCGCTGAGGTATGGTAGAGGATAGATGTACAAAACATCTCAGATTTAACAAACCATGTTATATTCAGCAGTTTGTACCATGGCTTACTGTGAAACAGGCCGATAGACATTGCTCTTGCTTATGCTATAGCAAATGTAGGTGCTTATTATGACATCACTGTTTGGTTTTAGCTTATTTTACCTAACACCACCACATGACCAAACTCAAAAGTCCAGTGAAAGAAGCTCTAAAGTTTCATGGAATATATATACATTGACCTGGGGTCGCACTGGACACTTGAAAGTTGTTACTGGAGCCGTCCCGAAAAAAGCTTGGGAACACCTGCTTTATTAGATAATCCTCCTTGTTTCTCACTTTCCCTCCACCAGTTTTTACCAAGACCCAGATTACAGCTAAAATAAATTTAAATAGTTTGTATTTACTATTGCACTAAAAAATAAAAGGGACTCCCGAAGTATGCGAACCAAGATGGCGGACATCGGAATGTAATATGTGTACTAGGTTAGGGTTAGGCCATAATTTTAGGTATAAATACTACAGGAGGCTCTTGGATAGTCTTCGAACTGATAATAGGACTAAAATAAAGAAAATTGGAAAAAAATTATCGCCTAACCCTAACCTGTTACCCATGTTACGTTCCGATGTCCGCCATCTTGGTTCGCATACTTCGGGAGCACCAAATAAAATCTATGTATTCAAGTGGAACAGAGACAGCAATATAAATTTAGTCAGTATAATTGTGGTGATGTCATGAAATTGTGTTTGAAATAAACAAATAAAATTAAAACGCAATATGTGTTTTTACAAAAAACAAATAAATGAATGTTTAGTAAAATAGCACGCGATGATTTTTAAAACATCACATAATCTGAAATAACTTCAGCTTTACGGCTTTGAGATAAAATGTTGAAAAATTTTCGAATCTCTTATGCATGCAAGAGTGGGTTCTGGTTCACTTGAGCTTCTTGTTCTTTTGTCATTTGAGAGTTTGGTGTCTGCGGGTAGGTTGGAACGGCCACTCCTGGTTGAGGAGGCATTTGTGCACCGGGGTAATATGAAGTTCCCGGTGCATATCCTTGAGCAGGTATCATAATGAATTGGCCGTTTGCAAGCTGAACCATTCGTTGTTGCGAATAAGCAGGGTGAGCTGCATATACAACCACGCCTTGTGGTTTTTTGCGGCAACAGACACCAGTGCAACAATATGCAGAATGAATAATACAAATAATCATTCCGGCAAATCCAATGACAGCCATAATAGAATGAACGGCAATGATTCCTCCATTTCCTTCACGTGGGTAAATGTCTCCAGCACATATCGCAGACATTATACACAACGTAGCCATGAAGCAAGAAGCTACAATACTGACTGCCATATTCGCATTATATAAACAGATTGAAGGTTTTCTTCTAACTTTGAATCCAAGAATTCCAGATGCAATTACGATAGCACCGCACCATATTCCGGGAGACGCATACGCCATGCTGTAGTTGATAGTATACCAGTAATAACATGTTATGTTATTCCTAGAGCTATGATAGGCGAAAGTCTTCTTTGTGCATGCAATGAGCAACGTACCGATGCACAAAACTACAGATAAAAGGCCAAGAACAATTTCAGTAACTCCAAGTCGATACAAAACAAGTTTGTATTTTTCTCTCGGCTTCGTCTGAGGGGTTGATGTAGTCGTTGCCTGCTGGGGTGGCAAAGTAACCTGACCCTGTTGGGGGCTTGCTGTCCCACCCTCTGGTTCAACAGCTTCATCAAGCATTGAATATGAGCCAGCTGGAGATTGAGCCATAATGCAACAAAATAAAGCAGTATCTCTTGTAATTATTTTACTATGAGCTTTGAACACAAAGAAATGAAAGTTGGTTTGTTAGTCCAAAGCAATCCAAATATTTAAATAATTTGAAACTGGGTATTTTGGTATATAGGATTAGTCTTGAAATTTATTAAAATTACAAAGAAGATTTGATGATACCACATAGTGTTTTGGCCCTCACAGATGTATTGAATGAAGTAAAAATACTCGAACAATTACTGATTGAAAAACAAATCTGGTTAAGATATATTGAGAACTGACCTAATAAACTTAAAATTGTAAACTTTATGGACACCCTGTACTGAAGCACTCCAAAGTCTTTTTGTATAGCTCAGTAACAATTTTTTTGTTTTGAGTCTAATGCCAGTAATCAATTTACTTGAACTCTTTTTGATATGGTTGCAAGTCAAAAACATAATCTAGAGTTTTGATTGAAACCTAAAAATATATAAAGAAAGCTATGGTGATGAATCAAAGGCAAATTTAGCATAGGCTGGATGTAAACCACAATATGATGATACAAGTTAAAGTCATAAAATCTCTAAATATTTTTCATAAAATTCACAAAAAGTGCAATTTCAGTGCAACAGAGGTAAATCAATATATGATTTAATAAAAACATATTGTAACAGAAATAATTTGGCATTTTTGGAAATGAAATAATCCCTGAAAAAGAGGGTCTTGGTAATCACTGATAGAGGCAACAAGGCAGATTTTTTAAACAAATCTACTTATGGCACGATCACAAATACTCACTCAGAAATTGACTAATCTCTGAATAAAGGTGAGGGCAACTGAAATGTCAAGAACCATTAAAAATTATAGTGGTGCATTACGAGCGCTGTATCAGAAGTTAAGGAGACCCATTATAGAGCTAAGATCTGAAGCCCAGGCCCGACCGGGTTGGGCCTGAAATATCAATCATTACGTTAGGCCGGGCTTCTCTATCACTGACTTTTTTTAATGAGTCGTTTCGGTCGTGTTTTGGCCACGAGAGACCTTTTCTGCAAAGAAAAAACAGAAGTTGTCTCATCAAAGTGACACATACTGTACTAAACTTTTGCAATGACAATTCAATGATCTAAATAAAATATCAAATTTCGGGCCTGCAAATACATTTAATGCGTCAGGCTTGGTCGGATTTAATACCCACCCGCCTGGGATGAGTAGGGGTGGATTTTTTGGGCCCGATCTTACCTCTAACCCATTACCAGTGAAAAGTCACTGAAACTAAATAGCATTATGGAGGTGCTTCATATACTACAGAACTCATTTGAAAAACATCATTTTTCAAGTAAAATACAGTCTTATAGTATGAAAATATAACTGGTGAAATTTGGTTGAACATGATAAAAATTGGGAATTTATGTACAGAAAAGAATATTCAGCTTCGGCTACCGCTACTTCAACCCAATTAATTTTTTCTTAATCTGAGCTGATTTCACCTCACCAGTTTTTACCAAGACTCAGAGTAAAGCTTAAATATATTCGTAAAAGAAATTACGTTTTTATTTTATGTTTACTATTGCACTAAGAAAATAAAATTAGTGTATTCAAGCGTAACAGACAACAATATAAGTTTAGATAGTATAACTGTGGTCATGTCATGAAATTGTATTTGGAACAACCAATGAACTTATAACGCAATATATGTTTTTACAAAAAAGCAAAATAAAATATGAATGTTTAGTAAAGTAGTAAGCGATGATTTTTAAAAGGAATTCTTTCAGAGTAAAACATGCACTCACTGAACCACCAAAATCTCCTTAGACTTCAAGGAATGATAGCGGAGAATTGCATGTTAGTTAATGTCAGGTGTGTGCAACCTTAGGCCATTGTAACATGATAGATAACAAATGGAACTCAGGTATAGGCTTTGCAACGCAAAGGAGTTTTACTCACCTTAATAAATTCAACTAAATTAACACTCATCTCCTGGGCTGATACTTCAAACTTGTGGGCCACATTTGGCCCGCGGGCCCCTGGTTTATGTCAATACTCAATACACTCAGAGTTGCTAGCACAAACTTTTTTAGTTGTCAATTGAAAACTTGAAAGTCTTTTAATTTGACAGCTGTGTTGTTTGTGTATTTACAAAAAGCAAAGCTTTAGCTGCTGGTTTGAATATTCATATTTAAGAGTAGAAAATGTTTTTCTTCGGGGGGGGGGGGGGGGGGGGGTGTAAAAAAACTCAGCTTAAATAACTTTGATCTTATTTTTCATTTGCTGGTTTGAAGCCAGCAGGCGTATGTGCACCAGGGTGTGTGCACCAGGGTTATACGAAGTTCCTGGCACATATCTTTGAGCAGGTATCATAATGAATTGGCCGTTTGTGAGCTGAACCATTTGTTGTTGCACGTAAGCAGGGTATGCTGCGTATTCAACCACACCTTGCAGTTTCTTTCCGCAATAGACACTAGTACAGCAGTATCCAATATGAATAATACAAATAATCATTCCAGCAAATCCAATATTAGCCAAAATACAATGAACAGCAATGATGCCTCCATTTCCTTCACGTGGGTGAATGTCTCCAGCACATATCACAGACATTATACACAACGTAGCCATGAAGCAAGAAGCTACAATACTGACAATCATGTTCGCAATATAAAGACAGACGAAAGGTTTTCCTCTAACTTTGAATCCAAGAATTCCAGATGCAATAACAATAGCACCGCACCATATTCCCTGAGAAGCATACGTAATGCTATAATGGATCTTAGAAACTTGTGTATTGTTAGTCCATCGTTCGTGATAGACATAAGTCTTCTTTGTGCTTGCGATGATCAATGTAACGATGCACAAAACGACAGATAAAACGCCAAGAACAATTTCAGTAACTCCAAGTCGATACAAAACAAGTTTGTATTTTTCTCTCAGCTTCTTCCGATGGGTCGACTTGGTTGTTGCCTGCTGAGGTGGCGAGATAACCTGGCCCTGTTGGGGGCTTGTTGTTCCAGTCTCTGGTTCAACAGCTTGATCAAGTCTTGAATATAAGCCAGCTGGAGCTTGAGCCATAGTGCAACAAAATAAAGTAGTATCTCTCGTAAATATTGTACTATTTATGCTTCCATTACAGAAAAGGTATGATAAATTGATTTTAAATTAGTGTTCATGATGAACGTTACTAATAATTGCTGTTATCGCCTCAAAATGGTTAATTTTTTCTCAATTTAGTAATTCTGACAAATTCTGTGTTTTAATTTTTACACAAGCATTCATTCTAATACAGTGGTCTGCAAACTGTGGGCATTTAAACTAAGCAAATTAAATGTCCATTAAGAAGTTTATTATGTGAGTGAATTTGAAATTTCCAACAAAATTGTTGTGCATAGAAACCTTTACTATGTTACTATCTGGGCCTCACTTACAAATCTTTGTTGACCACTGTTCTGAGGTAACCCCTGACAAGTAATCCAAATTGTCAGTTCACAGTTAAACTGTCCATTCCGGAAAAAGCGTATTTATATATGTATATTTTTTATTTTTCTCATTTTTTATTTCTTTGTCTTCGTTTGCTGAATGGCTAATAAAATGGTGCTCCCGTAGTATGTGTACCAGGTTAAAGTTAGGTCATGATTTCATTTTGTTTTTTCTTATTTTAGTTCTATTACGAGTTCCCACACAGTCTGTGTTGGCCAAGTGAATATACCTCTGCCCATAGATTTCAGACTCTTTACGCAACTTGATGTAAAATAGGCGAACAAAATTAGTTACGTCCATATTGGTACACACATTTCCGGAACGCCAATATGATTTATTTGATAAATAATTTTACATCGTGCAAATCTAGCTTGTAAGCCTAAACATAATAACAAGCAATATTATGGCTATTGTAATCAAGAATATAGATACCTATTCTAAGAGATTCAAACTCCTGCTGTACATTATTACAAACGCACCATTAGTTGGAATATGCTTATCTGAGGGAGTCTGACAACACAACAAAATGTTACTAAAATAAATTAGCGATGGTGAATCACATATGCTGCAATGATTGTGGCCAACATTTCTCCCAGTTACAACGATTCAAGTTTAAAACATGCAACTCGTCGAAACACAAAAAAAATGGTGGTGCAGGAACGCCATTTTATTACTACAACTAAAAAAGAAGTTTCTGAACCAAAAATTTGGCTTGCACTAATTTTCTTCTGCAACCATTTGCTGTGATAGGCATTTTCGTGTGGTCATTTGGAACATATTCCAGACCAGTGGCCCGCAAAGAGGGTGTAGACAATTTTTGTGACAAGGGAGCGAGAAGCTAAATAAAAATACTTGTCAGACTTGATCTTGCCTGCCTTATTTCGGATATTTACATTTCTTTTTTGTCAGCCAAAAACAACTGCAAATTTTGCTTGTTTTTTAAAGTTTTCATTTATTTCATTATTTACGTTCCATTCACATATTTTTTGAATAAAACATACTTTCGCCATACTCAAAAAGCTAAAGCCAGAAATTTCAGTATGATATTCAGAGAGTATCAACAATATATCGGTATAAATTCAAGATTAGTCAGACATTCGTCATGTCGGCAACAATAAGTTTTAGCCTAAGGCCGTGTTTCAGCAGTTCAATGAAGTCAAAAAGTGGGCGTTTTTGCATCAGTTTGTGTTTTTGGTCCAGTCTGCCAGTGGCATGCTTTAAACTTGAATAGTTGTTACTGGAAAACATGCCGGAATAACAGAATAATATTAGTTCAAAAGCTCTTTTCAGCATTTGGTGATTTCTGAATTCAGTAACCCATTTTTTTTTAGACTAAAAAAGGAAGTATTGGTCAGTTTTAACACAGTCAATAGTCAGGCATAATATTTGTCATTGATTGTCCTTGTTAAGGGACATTTAATTTATTTAGTTGAAATAACGCAATGTGTAATCATTTGATATACGAACAAAAACCATTTGGCAAAAAATTCATATTTTTTTGTGTATCACTGTCATAATTGAAATTCATTGGGTCAAGTCCCGCAGTTTGCCGATCACTGCATAAGATAAGATTTTATTTTGATTCATTTGTAAAAACAAAATAAACATATAACTCATACACAAAAGATTAAGGCGAAGAATTGGGAAAGTGAACGAAACCTAATAAAATAAGTTTAAAACGTATTATTCAACGTGTTCACTTACCGGAGAAAGAAAACAAGTCACAAACAAAATAAACATGAATATTCACGGCAGTCATTACTCAGGCGTTTCACTTTGTAATCAGGTTGCGTGCAATTTTTTCGAGAATGGAAGCTTGGATAAAACTGGAATTTGTCAGAATTACTGCGGTATGAGAAGAGTAACCATTATGAGTTGAGAACAGCAATAACTAGCATGCCCCGAATAAATATAGAAGTTTATCATAAAAACTAATTGGAAACAAATGTCCATTTCTTCATTAAAAATCAACGCCAGAATATGCTCATGCATCACATAATCCATATCTGTGTATTCAAATGAAAAATTCATGATTGCCAGAATGTAGCTTATTTTCATATTTAATCTTGCAAGCCTGGGTTGTGCAATACCAAACAGGGCTTTAGCGTTAGGACCACACTTCTGATTTCCTTTATCAAGTCCATGCGTCGAAACTAATCCCATATCTGACAAGGATTGATAACTGAACAAGAGGCCTTATATTGTTAAGCCATTGTCTTTTCTCTCACCAGAATAATATGAAAAATCTATTCTTGAAACTAATGTAATAACGAATCCCATCACTTGCTTGAAAGCAACACTAAATTTTATTTCTTTGTGTTCAAAGTTTATAGTATTATATTTAAGAGAGATACTGCTTTAATTTGCTGCATTATGGCTCAATCTCCAGCTGGTTTATATTCAAGGCTTGATCAAGCTGTTGAACCAGAGGGTGGGACAGCAAGCCCCCAACAAGGCCAGGTTACTTCGCCACCTCATCAGGCAACGACTGCGTCAACTCCTCGAAAGAAGCTCAGAGCAAAATACAAGCTTGTGTTGTATCAACTTGGAGTTACTGAAATTATTCTTGGCGTTTTATCTGTCGTTTTGTGCATCGTTACATTGATCATAGCTAACACAAAGAAAACTTACGTCCATCACGATTTTTACGGCAACAGGAACGTTCGCAGAATAATGTACAGCGATACTACGTTCGCTTCTCACGGAATATGGTGCGGTGCTATTGTTATTGCATCTGGTATTCTTGGATTCAAAGCTAGAGGAAAACCTTCCGTTTGTCTTTATAATGCGAACATGATTGTCAGCATTGTAGCTTCTTGCTTCATGGCTACATTGTGTATATTGTCTGTGATATGTGCTAGAGACACTTACCCACGTGGAGATAATGGGGGCATCATTGGTATTCATTGTATTTTGGCTGGCATTGGATTTGCCGGAATGATTATTTGTATTATTCATTCTTCCTACTGCGGCAGTGGTGGTATTCGTTGTCGCAAGAAACCGCAAGGTTTGGTTGTTTTACCCCAACAACAAATGGTTCAGCTCGGGAAACGGCCAATTCATTATGATACTTGCTCAAGAATATGTGCCAGGAACTTCGTATAACCCAGGTGCACAAACGCCTCCTCAGCCAGAAGTGGGAATTCCTCCGTACCCACAGACATCAAACCAGCAAATGAACAAGAAGCTCAAAGTTATTTAAGCTGAGGTTATTTCACCCCCCAACCAACCAACCAAATTTCAGCAATTATTTTTTCATACTGTAAGAATATATTTTACATAAAAAATAACGTTTTTCAAGCGAGTATATAAAGCACCTCCACAATACTATTTAGTTTCAGTGACTGGTAATGGGTCTCCTTAACTTCTGATACAGCGCTCGTAATGCACCACTACAATTTTATATATTTTCAGCAGCTCTTAGAATTTCAGCAGTTGCCCTCACCTTTATTCGGAGATTAGTCAATTTCTGAGTGAGTGCACCACCATAAATCTATTTAGTTTCAATATCTGTTATCATTTCACTTGTTGTCGTTAATGTTGTTCATAGAATGATCTCTCTCAACTTCTGATTGAGTATTTGTGATCGTGCCATTTGTAGATTTGCTGCCTGCCTTGTTGCCTCTATCAGTGATTACCAAGACCCTCTTTTTCATGAATTATAGAAAGTATAAGATTTTTGTTTTTTTAAAATCATTATTTGTCGAAAAATGCCAAATTATTTCTGTTTGAATAGGTTTTTATTAAATCATTTACCTCTCTTGCACTTTTTGTAAATTTTATGATTTTAACTTGTATCATATTGTGATGTACATCCATCCTTTGCCAAATTTGCCTTTGATTCATCATCATAGCTTTCTTTATATATTTTTTACGATTGAACACTTAGATTATGTCAACGGTGGGCAAACTGTGGCTCCCCAGAGTTTTTATGCGACTTCTCGCTAGCATTATCTATTATCCAAATTTAAATTACAGAAACTGTAGTGTACTTTTTCAATTGATTAAGCAGTGCAATAAATTTTCATTGATTAAGACAAACTATGTTTTAGTATGAAAATTGGTGTGGCGTTTTGTTATAGTATGTAATATTGATCGTGTTAAATATTACTCTGACTGTATTCTGTCATAAGGAAATTTGCTGATATTGTCGTAGTCAATAGCCCAAAACCCTTTTTCGCGTTCCCCAAATTGGTATCAATGTAACAGTTACAATGCAAAATTATTTATTAAGTCTAATATTGATGATTTTTAAAATTATGCAGTTCCCACATATTTCTGACTTGATGTATGCGGCTCTTATACCAAAAATTTTGCCTTCTCCGAATTATGTTTTTGACTTGCAACCATATTAAAAAGGGTTGATATAAACTACTTAAAAATGGATCGATTGCTAGCATCAGACTCAAAACAAAAAAATATTGTGACCGAGCTATGAAAAGAGACTTTGGAGTGCTTCAGTACAGGGTATTCATAAAGTTTACAATTTTTAATTTTGTTATGAAGTCAGTTCTCAATATATATATCTAAACCAGATTTGTTTTTTTAATCAGTATTTTCACTTCATTTGATACGTCTGTGAGGGACAAAACACTATGTGGTATCATAAAATCTCCTTTGTAATTTTAATGAATTTCAAGACTAATCCTATATACCAAAATACCCAGTTTCAAATTATTTTAATATTTGGATTGATTTGGACTAACAAACCAACTTTCATTTCTTTGTGTTCAAAGCTCATAGTAAAATAATTACAAGAGATACTGCTTTATTTTGTTGCATTATGGCTCAATCTCCAGCTGGCTTATATTCAAGGCTTGATCAAGCTGTTGAACCAGAGGGTGGGACAGCAAGCCCTCAACAGGGTCAGGTTACTTCGCCACCCCAGCATGCAACGACTACATCAACCCCTCGGAAGAAGTTCAGAGCAAAATACAAACTTGTGTTGTATCAACTTGGAGTTACTGAAATTGTTCTTGGCGTTTTATCTGTCATTTTGTTCATCTTTACATTGATCATCGCAAGCACAAAGACGACTTACGTCTATCACGATAATGACCTCGGTAGAACGTACGGTCCAAAAATAGACTACAGCATTACGTTCGCTTCTCACGGAATATGGTGCGGTGCTGTTGTTATTGCATCTGGAATGCTTGGATTTGAAGCTAGTAGAAAACCATCTGCCTGTCTTTATAATGCGAACATGATTGTCAGCATTGTAGCTTCTTGCTTCATGGCTATGTTGTGGATATTGTCTGTGATATGTGCTGGAGACACTTACCCACGTGAAGATAATGAAGGCATCATTGCTGTTCATTGTATTTTGGCTGCCATTGGATTTGCTGGAATGATTATTTGTATTCTTCATTCTTCATACTACCGCGCTGGTGTTTGTTGCCGCAAAAAATCGCAATGCGTGGTTCTAAAGGCAACTTACCCTGCTTATCCGCAACAACAAATGGTTCAGCTCGCAAACGGCCAATTCATTATGATACCTGCTCAAGAATATGTGCCAGGAACTCCATATAACCCTGGTGCACAAACGTCTCCTCGGCCAGAAGTGGGAATTCCTCCGTACCCACAGACATCAAACCAGCAAATGAACAAGAAGCTCAAAGTTAATTAAGCTGAAGTTATTTCACCCCCCCCCCCCAAAAAAAAAAACCATTTTCTAAGAATATTCGAAACAGAATCGCTAGAATACACAGCTCGAGCGTTGCTCTTTGTAAATACGCAAACAACACAGCTGCCAAATTGAAATACTTTCACGTTTTCAAATGACAACTAAAAAAGTTTGTGCTAGCAACTTAGTGTATTGAGTATTGACATAAAAAAGGGGTGTGTAACCTGCGGACCGCAGGCCAAATGTGGCCCAAAGTTTGAAGTTGCGGCCCACGACATGAGTGTTAATTTAGTTGAATTTATTAAGGTGAGTAAATCTCCTTTGCGTTGCAAAGCCTATACCCGAGTCCAATTTATTATATATTATGTTACAATGCCCTAAGGTTGCACACACCTGACATTAACTAACATGCAATTCTTCGCTATCATTCTTTGAAGTCTGAGGAGATTTTGGCGGTTCAGTGAGTGCATGTTTTACTCTTAAAGAATTCCTTCTAAAAATCATCGCTTACTACTTTACTAAACATTCATGTTTTGTTTTTTTGTAAAAACACATATTGCGTCATAATTTTTTTTGTTATTTCAAACACAATTTCATGACATGACCACAGTTATACTGTCTAAACTTATATTGCTGTCTATGTTTCACTTGAATATACAAATTTTATTTCTTAGTGCAATAGTAAACATAGAATAAAAACATAATTTCTTTTATAAATATATTTAAGCTATACTCTGGATCTTGGTAAAAACTGGTGAGGTGAAATCAGCTCGGATTAAGAAAGAAATTGGTTGAAGTAGCCGAAGCTGAATATTTATTCCTGTACATATATTCTAAATTTTTATCATGTTCAACCAAGCTCAGCACTTATTTTTTCATACTGTAAGATTGTATTTTACTTAAAAAATGACGTTTTTCAAATGAGTATTTCAGGTCGGGCTCAAGCTTCAGATCTTAGCTCTATAATGGGTCTCCTTAACTTCTGATACAGCGCTCGTAATGCACCACTACAATATTATATATTTTCAGAAGCTCTTAGAATTTCAGCAGTTGCCCTCACCTTTATTCAGAGATTAGTCAACTTCTGAGTGAGTGCACCACCATAAATCTATTTAGTTCCAGTATCTGTTAGCATTTCACTTGTTTCCGTTAGTGTTGTTCATAGAATGATCTCTCTCAACTTCTGAGTGAGTGCTTGTGATCGTGCCATAAGTAGATTTGTTTAAAAAATCTGCCTTGTTGCTTCTATCAGTGATTACCAAGATTCTCTTTTTCAGGAATTATGGAAAGTATGAGATTTTCGTTTTTTAAGCATCATTTCTCGTCGAAAAATGCCAAATTATTTTTGTTTGAATATGTTGTTTTTCAATTAAATATTTTAAATTTACTGGTTTTAGAAGATTTACCTTTGGTGCACTGAAATTGCAGTTTTTGTAAATATTTTGAGATTTTATGATTTTAACTTGTATCATATCATTTGATATTTTATGATTTTAACTTGCTTTTTATTGTGGTATACATCTGCATATAATTTTGCTAAATTTGCCTTTGATTCATCACTATAGCTTTCTTTATATATTTTTTTAGGATTGAACACTTAGATTATGTCAATGGTGAGCAAACCGTTTATGCAGCTCTTCTTGCTAGCATTAAATATTATCCAAATTTAAATCACAGAAACTGTAGTGTACTTTTTTAATTTATTGAGCGGTGCAATAAATTAATGCATTTGATCTCAACGGGCTAAGCGTTAGGAATACGCTCGCCACCGCACCTCTAATTACTCTGCGTGGGTTCGCAGGTTCGAATTCCATGCAGGGGTGGTTATGTGCGAGAGGATTGCTGGACTCCTCGCCGTCGTTGGGTGGTTCACGTAACCGCTGGTCGATTACGGCTTCCTCCACCACCAAGTCCATGCTTCCGAAAACAAACAATATAACTAATCCCATACCCGACTTGTAATGGTAACCGGACGAGAGGCCGTGGTTCGCCATGTGTATAAGCCGTTTTATCGGTTTTCCTCTCCAACGGGATAAATATGTAAATCCTATCCTATCTGATGTACCACAGTCCACACACTGCAGTTTGCATAATAAACTATATCTACACTGATCTCGATGAATCACACAGTGTGAAATGCCCTGTATATTTTAAAACATCAAATGTCAGCCGACAACTTGATACATGATTTCTCACCTCTCAGTCGCTTCATTTCTTTAAACTACTGCATGACTTATCAATATCATTTCTGCCCAGGTACCGTACTTGTCCATTTTATGAATTTAGACAAACTGACTTTAGTAAAATTGGTTTCTCTTTCTCACAAACGTGCATTACACAAAAGGTCATTATTTTCTCAATCAAATATGCTGTAGCATATATAGTAGTATAAGTCTGCTGAATACTCAAGAATCGTCAATACATAATATAATGAAAATACCGTTTCGTTGTTTGGGGCATATGTAGGGTTACCATATCGTGCTTATGTGCTTATTTTCTAGTCCGTGTCTTATAAAGTAACGATGTGCTTATTTCTAAGCGAAGTGCTTATTTTTGAGTTACGTGCTTATTTTGTCTTAGAAACATGGATGACTCGTTCTTGTTTTGCGTACAGAGCTCCCGTGGAAACGAGGGCTGTGTTTATTATTATCGCGATTCGTTGTTTTATTATTGTGACGTATCAATTAGCTACGTTCCACCGTGACCTCGTGTCTCGGACCCGCTCACTCCCAGCAGAGCCATTATATAATAACTCTGCTCCCAGCGCGAACTGTTTCTGTTAACGGTAGGGGTTTGCGGTATTTCCAGGCAAACTGTGACACAGTTACAAACTTACAATAGTTGCTGCTTTAAGGATACTGTATTTAGGGACAAACCACAATTTAGACAATGACTAAGCGAGTTCCGTTTTGAATATGAAAAGGGGATTTGCTAATGTCGAAGGGTAAGAGCTATGCTCACTGCTGCTGCAATTAGTGGCCACAATATTACCACAAAATACAAGAATTTTGCAAGAAGCATTGCGGGAAACCTAAGTATGAAGACTTTAGATACCGTATTGTGTGTGGCGGGACTTCGTGTCTTACCATTGTTTTTTGCGATTCGGGGCTGCATACAACCTAGTTCGCAGCGACTTCTGATAAAGTTCCTCGTACCTATTTAACAACGATATATGAGCTAGTGCTCAACTAAAATTACTATCTATGGTAAGAATATACAAGTGGTTAATAGCTTACTTAAAATTTTTAACTCAACTCAAGACCGAGCAGTACAAAATGCGATTCATCCGCCGGCCTACAGCTAACTTCGCCATCCAAAAATTACGTCACTGCATCGTCACAATCACGAAATAGAGCCTGCCCAATAATACCGGTAGCGACAATAGTTACTCCTACGAGTACGCTACGGAGAAGTTTCGTACCTCAATAACTTCTAGTAGGTTTAGCGAACCCCGTAGAACTAACTTGTCCCATTATGGCGTCATATGGACTCCATTTCCGAACATTCGACTCGAGTAGTGTAACGCAAACAAGCCTAATTTTTGTAGTTTTAAAAGGCTATTGGGGCAGATTTAAATCAGTAGTTATATTCCGAGGGCGCTGAAATACGATAGGACGTCTCAATCAGTATCGAACCCAGTACGGGGCACATACATTAACAACCCACGACGCTCGGTAACAAACATAATACTGTAATATAGACGCAACGCACGGTTAGTAAAGTTTATTTCGATATTCCGTAACACTAAAACAAATAGGCAATGCAAGTATGTATGTTTATTTGCCTCAAAAATGTAACAGTATCTGCATAATAGTTAAACGGTATAAAAGAGACGGGGTACATGTGCAAGACGTTACTGGCCTAAGACACAGATGTGGACATGCACCCCAACAAGTATAACTGCAGTTTAGGACTGCTGCGTTATAGTAGGACAACAGACATGACATATACAAATAAAACTCTTGTACAAATACAATACACAGGACAAAGAGGTCCGGCACCACGATGATATGTACAATAGGCAGTTTATGGCACGTTCTTGTCCCAGGTTCTGATGTGAAGGGATGGGAATAGGGTATAAATCGCATTTTTGTGTTTTTTACAAAAGATTGTACGAAACAAGTAAAAATTTGTTCAAGACATACCAACGTTGGGTCGGACCACGACACAAAAAGATTAGGTTCTAAGAAGGTAAACAAGAAACGACATATGTAAAAATTCTTTCACACAGTTGTTAATCAGAAGTTGTATGCGACAAAAGAAATGAGAACAATAGAGTCTGGCATAAAATGCAGGTCAATTTCGTAGGTGCTATTTTGTGGAATTTATTGTCAACACGTCTCAGCATAATAAATTTAAATATGTCTAAGATGATCTTTTCATTAGCGATGATCCAACGAAGTAACTGTACAAAGCTAATAAACCATAAAAATATGCAGAAACTAAAGACAATAGATCAGTGGGTTGCCCGAGACTTGCTACCTGAGCAATGGGAGTTGGTTGCATCCACGATGACATAGTTAGTCAAACGGAGATATTTATGGCTGCTTCCTTCATTTGAAATGAATCTGTAATCACGTAAATTTATATGTGCGCCAACTTGGTCGGGTCTAAGCCAAGTTTCGTTAGCCGCAATTATATCGGGTCGACTAGTCATTGATTCAATCAATCAATCATTTATTTCGGTACTCTGACATGAAAACAAAACAACACAAAAACTGGACAAACAAACAAAATGCAGAGATACCTGGAAGGCGAGCATAACTTAAAATAAAGTTAAAAAACGTAAGAGTACGCGCCCGCCTAACAAAACTTCCAGTTTGGCAAAAATTTTTGGGTTTGCAAGTGAACGCATGTTTGCGCACATTGTGAAAAAGATAACCATTTCGCTTTGAGCTTGGACAAATCTCTTCAATATCGTTTGTACTTATATATTGACAATCGCATAGACCTGAGGCTATTTCGCCCTGGTCGTCGTCGATGATATCAGAGATAAAAAGGTCATTCAGAGCTAATGGGTCTAGGGCAGTGGCGTAACTACCCATTGGATCTTGGGCGGCACGTTGCTGAAGGGCGGCAAAATGTGGCAAAACGTTTTAAACGAATCGGAAAAACATTTAAAATGAACCAAGGCAGTCACATTAAACGACCTAATTTACCAATGAAGCCAAAATATTACACAAGATATACGTCCAAACCAGGTGTTTTATGGCTCGTGGCCCCCCTTCCAGCGTCTTTTTGCACTCGCGGTCTCCGTGTTCGCCATTCCAAAAAACGAAACGTGTTGGATTGTATTATGTGTTTACGATCTATTATGGAATGCAAAATCAAACCACAGACAAGAAAGTAAACGCTCTCCAGTATACAATCAAAGGGAATGGGGATTTATTGATGATTTATTGCTCATTACATACGAGCAATGCCAGCATTAATCACATTCTCTGGCATCTCAATTTACTTTGGTAAAGTCAACGAAACTGTTGTTGTTGTTGTTAGTACATCTTTCTGTGCTTGAAGGCCCAGGAACGCAGCTATTCATGTGTTCATCCAAAACGGCAGCCTACTGTAGTTCAATTTTCGTAATTGAGTCTATAATACGCTAACGAAGGTTATCTCGCAGTCGAGTGGATCTGCCATTTTGCAGGTTAGACCAGACGGCCTACCGGCGAACTATTTTCATTGGTAGATTTCAATTTCCATTATGATCAAACAAATCACGCACAAGAAAGTGAATACAAATGTGATCGCAAATAATCCTATTCAGGTAATGAAAATGACTGCCGTGGAAAGTATGCAAACGAAGTCGCTATATAATAAATTATTAGTCTTGTGTCGTGGCCCCTCTCGATCTGCTTCGTGGCCCCTGTAGGGAGCCCTTGGATGAGAACCACTGCACTAGTACAATCGAGTGATTTTACATTTAAAAATGACGCCACAGCGCTGGACGTAATGCAGTGGTTTGCAAACATCGTTTATGCAACCCCGTGTAACTCCGGAAATTTCTCCCGATGTTGAATTCGCCGACACGCTTGACTTGGTGCAAACAGATTATTATTGCTTCGAAAATCATCGTGCGACTTCCTGCGTTTTTCTGTGTTCTGACGGCGCTGTCCCGCGTCAAGATTAAGTGAGTGACTTATAAATATTTATTTAGTTGTGCACATGGAATATTACACAATATATTTGACTATAGAACTGATAGAAT